TCACCTCAGCCTCCCAAAGGCGCGGGATGACAGGCTGAGCCACCGAGCCCGGCTCTCTTTATATTATTAATTCTATTAATTCCTTCTAACCTTTCACTTTATCTGACAGTAGTGTTTCTACTCCTGCCTTCCTTATATTTGTGACTTTTGTATCTTTCTCATCCTTCTAAGCCATTAAAAATAATTTTAAGTGTATATCTTATAATAACACCTGTCCGATCTGACAGTCCCTGTCTTTTTTTTTTTTTTTGAGTTAGACTCTCACTCTGTTGCCCAGGCTGGAGTGCAGTGGCACGCTCATGGCCACGCCAGTGTCGACCTGCTGGGCTCCGGCGATCCATCCTCCTCAGCCTTCCAAGTAGCCGGGACTCCAGGCATGCACGACCATGCCTGGCTAAGTTTTCTTGATTTATTGTAGAGATGAGGTTTGGCCACGTTGCCCGGGCGGATCTCAAACCCACAGGCTCAGGCAATCCACTCGCCTCGGCCTCCCAGAGTGCTGGGATGACAGGCTGAGCCACTGAGCCCAGCCTGTCTCTTTCTTTGAATCGGAGAATTCAGTCTCTTCACAGCTAGCATTTCAAAACGGTCTTGCAGGGAGCGACCACAAGCCTCTTGGTGACCAGGGATCATCCCTTGAGCTACAGACAGGGGGCGCCTGTCAGAGCCATGACTGTCACGTCCACAGGGGACCCTGCAGCAGGTGGCTGCTACCTAGTCACTTCGCAGGTAGGTTGCAGGCCCCTGCCAAGTGTCAGGCACTGTGGCTGGTCTGCTGATCAGAATATGTAGGTTTTTGAGTCGGAGTCTCACTCTGTCGCCCAGACTGGAGCGCAGGGGCCGCTCCCGGCCACCGCAGCCTCGACCCGCTGGGCTCCGGCGATCCTTCCGCCTCCGCCCTCCAAGGAGCTGGAACTACAGGCGTGTGCTACCATGCCCGGCTAATTTTTGATTTATTGCAGAAACAAGGTCTCGCCAAGTTGCCCGGGCAGGTCTCGAACCCGCAGTCTCAGGCAATCCACTCGCCTTGGCCTCCCAGAGTGCTGGGATGACAGGCTGAGCCACCGAGCCCGGCCTATCAGAATATTTTAATGACTTCTGGGATATGTTGTGCTTTGGGCCCTTGGAACCAATTCTTCCTGGAGCAAAACCCAGGAAAAGCTTTGCCTCCCATGAAGATCTAATTTCCCTTCTTCCATCAGACAGTGAGGACGGCGTGACTGGTCCTGGTTGCCTTTTTGCCCTGGCTGTCAGGAAGCTCAGAGCTAAGCCTTGACAGCTCTTCTCTTGTCATGTTCTTTTGTTTTTGATATCATTTTCTTTTTCTAAAAATGTCTTTTGTAGAGACAGGATTTCGCTCCATTGCCCAGACTGGTCTTGAATTCCTGGCCTCAAGTGATCCTTCTGCCTTGGCCTCCTAAAGTGCTAGGATGACAGGGGTGCGCCACCATGCCTGGGCTCTGATAGAAACTTTCTCCCATAATTTCCTCCTCTCCTCCGGTGTGATTCGGTGTTAATAGGGTTTTTGGTCTCACGGCATCTATGCTTTTACCTTGGGCCGCCCAGAGCCCTTCCTGGAAGTAAAAACAGACCGAGAAACAACCAAATACGAGTAGCCCTGCAAAAGACCGGTCACGTGAAAGATCAGTGGTCTGGCCTTACACTGAGAAGGAGGCATAAAAGCACATACAAGTCTTAGAGGGAGTGAAAAAAAAAAAAGGAAAGAACATTAGCAGAGAAGAAAGAATCCCAGAGCAAAGTTGTCAGTGATATCCCCCAGCCTCCCATGGAAGCCATGTGAAAAGCGGAACGTCTTCCTGGGGTGATGAACTCTGACTTTACCGACGCCCTGAGCGTACGAGGGGCACACAGGTGTCCTGACTCTCTCCTTCCCACCCTTCGGAGGCTGCGGAAGAAACACACATGCAGAGGCTTTAGTCCTGAATTCTCCAACGCTAACGGTTCTGCTCTGCAGACGTCTCCGGGAGAGGAGGGAAGGCTGTCGCCGTGGTATGCCTGGCTCAGCTGTTCTCAGACTCTTTCAGGCACTGGAGCGTCTGAGAGGCATCGATCGCATCGTTTTAGCATGTGACCAAGAGGAGAGACTCTTCCTGGGGGAGACACAGCCTAGGTGTCAAGGACACAAAACCCAAAAGGCAGAGTTGGCTGGGGGCCATGGCTCACATTTACAATCCCAGCACTTTGGGAGGTCAAGGCAGGAGGATCACTTGAGGCCAGGAGTATGAGACCAGCCTGGGCAACGTAATGAGATCCCCGTCTCTACAAAAAAAAATTTTTTTTTAATTAGCTGGGCATGGTGGTTCATGCCTGTTGTCCCGGCTACTCAGGAGGCTGAGGCAGGAGGATCACTTGAGCCCAGGAGGTCAAGTGCACTGGTTCAGTGAGCTATCATTGGACCAGTGCACGCCAGCCTGGGCAACAGAGTGAGACCCCGTCTTAAAAAAGGTCCAGTATGCTATTTTCTTACTTTTCTTCCATAGGTGGAGAAAAACTCCCGGGACTTGATGCGAGTGGAAGAACAGCTTGGCTGGGTCCAGACCGAACACTGTGCCTAAACGCCCCAGGGTCAGAAAACAGCTGTTCCAGGCGAGAAGAGCGCATTCTAGACACTTTTCCCCCTGACGCTGTCCCCCCTGCCACTGAACTCAGGGGTGTACGTGTCCTGGCATCGTGGGCATCTGTGCAGCGCCCTTATCCCCCCGCTTTCTGTGTGGAAGAGGAAGCCTGGAGAGATCCTTGGAAGAGAATTCAAAGAAGCATGCCACATGCGCGGTCCCGCCTGGGCCCATTCCGGGATGGGAGGGGTGGTTAGTGAGGTGGGAGCCGGGGTTCACCAGAATCAAACCATGCAGAGGCGCCCGGGCCCAGGGGAGATCCTCGGGGGCTGGCCTTGGACGAAAACACGGTAGCAGGTCTGACCGATCCTGGAGAAGATGGAGGGGACACATACTGGCCTGGGGGGTGGTGTGCCCTGTGACTCTGACCCTGGGATGGGACACGCCGCCCAAAGGAGGTTGTTCTGGCTCACATGCTTACGGCCAAGACTGCTCCGATGCAGCAAACGGGGTCTCAACTTTTTAGCGGCCTCTTCGGAGAGTTGAATCACCTCCGTTTATGGACAGAGTTGCTCGGAATAGAAAGAGGCTGCCTTGGGCAACGGAGGGTCTCCTGGGCTCTGTGTGTGTGTGTGTGTTTGTGTGTCTGTGTGCGCTGGGGACTTGGGCTCCTTCAGGCTAGCCCCACCCTAGGAAACCTAGTGACGCTATGGGAAGAGGCCACGGGAATGAGCAACTCTTGTTAAGGGGCTGAGTGTCCCAGGGCACAGGGCCCGGCCCCTCTGAGGGGCTGTCAGACACCGCAGATGCCCAGAGGTTCAAGTTCTCAGGACGGAAGGTCACACCCGCCTTCAGCTTGGCGCAGCCAAAGAAGCCCCAGCTGGCAGCTCTTGCTGTCTCTGTGCAATCTCGAGTGATAACATGGATACGGAGGATACTCTCTGCACGAACAAAGGCGACCCTAAGGCCATCGCTACTACGTGGGGCCAGTGGCATTCCAGGCCAGGACGTGGACCCTTGGCTCACGCTGGCTCGCGAAGGACGCCAATCCCTGAACCTTGGTAGGTTTTGCCTCCCAGGAGGAGGAAGGGGACCCAGGAGCTTCTCAGAGCCAGGCCTGATCACCCTGGGTGGTCCGTCTCCCGGGCTCCCACACGGAGCTCTCCCTGGGGCCCGGGGCCGGGCGTGGAGTGGGAGAACGGGTGTGGCGGGTCTGGTTCGGTCCTGATCTAGAAAGAGCAGCAGTGGCCTGGGCCGAGCTCCGGGCAGAGGCAGGCAGCGGTCCGAGCCTCTGCTCCTGCTGTGTTCAGGAAGCTGTGGGAAGCGTGCTCAGACTCGGACGGGCGGCCTCGATCGTTAGTACACCGCGGCGGGGCAGGGTGGAGTACCTACCCGGTGGTCCAAGCCATTCTTTCCGTGTCCTGGGAGAGAGTCAGATTTGGAATAGGGGAATCCTGAAACAGACACAGCACAGCTTGGTCACGCGCGCAGATGTGGTGCGGCCAGGAGGGGCGCGGCCCCGGGTGGGCGTCAGACCGAGGTGGGCGGGCGGGGCAGGAGGCCTCCTTGGAGGAGGGGGCCCCGAGCGTCAGGCCCGGCTTCCGTGGTGACCTCCTGTCCCCAGGGCACCGATGAGGAAGAAGCCAGGGAGGGACGACGTCCCCAGCCTGCCCGTGACACCGGGAGCACCGTGACACCAGGACCTCAGCCTCACCGGTGCCCCAGTTCATGGGCAGACTTGCGCCGGGGTGCCATCTGTCCCCCCAGCAAAGCCCTTCACTCTGCAGACCGGGAAAGAGTCAGGAAGGGGCCCTGTGCTGGGACCCCGGAGGGGCCAGGGTGGCTGTTCAGTCACTGGAAGCCCACCGCCCACCGAAGGGGGCCTGGAGACGGTGTCATTTTTAAAAGACCTCGAGCTGTTTGCAGTTGGGGAGTTTCATATCCTTCAGGGCAACGCTTGTTGGCGCAGTCAGGCGGGGTGGGCCTTCGCAGGTCCCCGCCCAAGCGACTCGTGGAGGCCACTTGTGTCCCCAGCTGGCCCTGGGAGTTTGGGACCTCCCAGTGAGCCTCTTCAGCCCTGTGCTGGGGAGGGCAGAGAGAAAGCTCTGCAGTGAACTCTGCCTGGCTCAGAGGAGTGTGGGAGGCCTTCTGGAAGAGAAGGAAGTTGGTAGACTCCCCCGAGAGGCCGGGACCCCTACCCTGGGGGAGGCATCCTGGGAGGCCTGTCCCGGTCCCTGAGCTGTCCGGTCTTCCGCTGGTCTGTGGGTCCCTACAGAGCAGGGGCCACCTCTGCGTCATCTGGGGGTATCCTCCCTGGCACTGGGCCTGGCTCCTAGAAGTGCCAGCCAGCTGTGCACGGGGTCAGACATCCCTGCCCTCGAAGCCTCAGGGGGATGGCGGGTCACATCCCTCGGTGTTCACGAGGCTGTGTATGTACGGGACCAAGGACCATGCCTCCAAGGGTGAGGTGGTGACTATGTACAGAACTGGCCACCCACCGCCTCCAGGAAGGCCTCGCTTCTGTTCAATTCTGCTCATCTGGGGCCTTCCATTTTGGGGTTCCCCGCAGACTCAACGGGGAGAGAGAAGAGATTCTGTAGAGGTTGCAAATGGACACAAGAACGCCTGGAGGAGGGGCCTCAGCTAGGACCTGGCTTGGGGAGTGGGCTGCTTTCGGCAGCCCACGGGGAGCTTTTGGTCGCGGGTCGGGAAGGGCCTTTTGTCACATCAGCGTTCTCAGACTTCTCTCGGCAGACTCTCTCTTGTCACACGAAATCTGACGTGAGCCCCAGAGCACAAAACAGATGGCTGTGGAACTGGGAAGCTGGGCGTGGGCCCGGGGCCAGACCCAGCGGGCCACCCCTCACTCCTCCCATTTCGAAGCCGGGGAATCGGGGCCCAGAGACTTAGGGACCTGCCTGAGGTCACCCATCAAGGCCTCCTGCCATGAAGTCCTGGGGTCCCTCCAGAACACACCTGCTTCCCAACTTATGCCCAGAGCCAGGCATGCGCCGGGACGACCCTCCAGCTGAGACAGAGCTCCTCGCTAGCCAAAAATGCGAGCGTAGAGGTTCTCGAAGTGGGGTCCCCGGCGAGGCATCCATTTTATCGGGAAACGGTGTCAGAAATGCACATTTTGGGCCTCCACCCCAGACCTACTGCGTCAGAATTCTGGGGCTGGGGTCCAACAACCTGTGTTTTTATAAGTCTTCCGCCAGCCTGGGCAACATAATGAGACCCCATTTCTACAAAAAATAGAAGAAATTAGCCAGGGGTCGTGGTGCACGCTTGTAGTCCCAGCTACTCGGGAGGCTGATGTGGCAGGATGGCGTGAGCCCAGAAATTTGAGGCTGCAGTGAGCTCTGACTGCACTACTGCACTCCGGCCTGAGTGACGGAGCTAGACCCTGTCTCTAAAAATAACAAAAACAGAAGCAAAAACCAAAGCCCAAAGCAAAGCAAACAAAAAGCACAAGCCTTCCGGGTCATTCTGAGGCACGCTGAGGAGGTGGGGGTGGCCATGGAGACTGCACACTTAGGTCTGGAAACTGCTGCCCGAGACCTCAGGAGCAGTGACAACCCTCAGCCACGTCCTGTGTCGCTCCCACGCCAGTGGGCACACAGCACTCACCTGGACAGCTTGCAAAGTTCCCAGTGCCCAGGCTGCCGTCTCCTGGTCTCAACACTTAACCACTTCACATGCAGGGTAGACACCGTCCTTCCATAAAGGTCACTTTATCCTCACTTTTTTTTTTGAGTTGGAGTCTCACTCTGTCGCCCAGACTGGAGTGCAGTGGCCACTCCCGGCCCACCGCAGCCTTGACCTGCTGGGCTCCGGCGATCCTGCCGCCTCAGCCTTCCAAGTAACTGGAACTACAGGCGCGCGCTACCACACCCGACTAAGTTTTTGATTTATTGTAGAGATGAGGTCTCGCCAAGTTGCCCAGGCGGGTCTCGAACCCGTGGGCTCAGGCAATCCACTCACCTCAGCCTCCCAAAGCGCAGGATTACAGGCTGAGCCACCAAGCCCGGCTATCCCCCTCACTTTTTAACTACAATTGTCTTAGGTTTAAAAAAAAATCTACTTGGAGCACCCATATCAGGTGGTGCTATGTATTTTGTGTCAACCATCAGATATGACCTGAGAATATGATTCTTTTAAAATCCTGAAGAATATATGCCAAGCACAGGTATCATAATCCCAAACGGAAAATCTGAGATGCAAGGAGAGACGAAATCAAAAAACAAAGTGAATATGTGAGTGGACACGAATAAATCTCAATCGGATAAAACAATAAAAATTTGATTCTTCTGGAGAAGAAAAGGACAGTCTATTATGTTTTATCTCATTCCTATCTATTCCAGTGTTCTTTCCTTTCTGAAATTCTGAGCCTCCGTCATCATTGCCTTCTGTCCGGAGAACGTTCTTTAGCTGTTTTTTTAAGGCTAGGTCTGCTAGTGCCACATTCTCTTGGCTTTCCTTTGTCTGAGAATGGCTTTATGTGGCCTTCACTCCTGAAGGATATTTCCGCTGCATCCAGAATTCACGGGGTGCACTTCCTTTGGTCTCCATAATTTCTGGTGAAAATCTGCTGTCATTGGAATTGTGTCTCCCCATAAGCAATACATCTTTTCTTTCTGGTTCTTTCAATACTTTTTTTCTGTGTCCTTAATTCTCAGAAACTTAATTTTGGTGCGTTTTGCTGTGAATTTTGAAGGGCTTATCCTCTTTGGAATTCACTGAGTTTATTGAACTGGTAGGCTTATGACTTTTGCCAAGTTTGGTAAGTTTCAGCCATCATTTCTTCAAATACTTTTTCAAATGTATTCTCTTTCTCCCTTTGTTCTGGGAATCTGAAGACACAAATATTGTCCCACAGGTCCCCGAGGCTCTGTTTGTATTTTATTTTTTGTTTCCTCTCTGCTGTTCAGATGGAATAATTTCTGTTGTTCTGTCTTCAAGTTCACCAATTCGCTCCTCTGTTATATTCAACTTTTGTTATTAAACCCATCCAATTAATTTTTTATCTTGGTTATTTTGTTTTGCAGTTCTAGAATTTCCATTTGATTTTTAAAACGACACCTATTTCTCTGGCAAAACTTCCTTATTTTCAATTGGTTCAAAAGGATTTGCAATGACCTGTTGAAGCATTTTTATAATGGATGTCTTAAAGTCCTTGTCATACAATTCCAACATTTGATTCTTCTCAGTGTTAGTATCTGCTGATTGCCTTTTCTCATTTAAACTGTTTATCTTCATGGCTCTTGGTGTGATGAGAAATGTTTCTGCTGTCTCCCGACTATTTTGGATATTGTGCTAAGAGACCAGGTCTTATGTAAGTGTTTTATTTTAGCAGGCTGTCACCCTGGTTAGGTTTGGCATGTAGGGCTTGGTCTTTGATGGGTGGTGGTTCCGATGACAGCTTAGTTTTCCGAATGCTTGTCTGAGTGCTCTTCTGGTCTGCTGAATTCACCGGGTGCTGCTGGCATCCCAACTCAGCCCCTGCGAGTGCTGCTCACGGGGGTGAAATGTGCCCTCTCAGGCTGTCTGTGCCACTGGGTGGAGGTGGGGGGGGGATGGCCACTGAGGCCGTTTCCTGGGCCCACTCCCGGGGCTCAGGGTGCCTGGTGGTCTCCTGCTAGTCTGCTGGTGTGGCCTATCCCCTGCTGCCACTGCGTGGGAGGCTGGGCCTGGGCCACCTTCTGCCACCGGCTGGGAGAGGGGAGATGCGGCATTGTTGTGTTTCCCTGAAGTCCTGAGGTGCCCCGGCCAGGTCACCACCCTCTCTCCTCCCTTTGGGGTTCTCCTGTGATGGCATGCTGTGTTCTTTCCAGGTCCTTGTAGTTGTACTTAGTGAGGAAGGGCAGGGAGAGGGGAGGCTACCTTCTCTCACGCTCTAGCTTGCTATTTAGACCACGAAGACTGGCCTCTCGGGATGGGGCCAGCCATCAGTCGGTTTTCAGGGTGCCAAGAATCCCAGGTGGAGCCGGGGCGGAGACCCACCCGTTTAAGAAGTCCTTGCACACATTCTGGGATTTCACTTGACTCTCACCAGCCTACACCTTCAACATGGGCCTGTTTTACAGATGAGGAAGCTGAGAACTAACGAGATCGAGTGAACCAGGCCCGAGAGTTCCTAGCATCAGAGGCTGAGATGAGGACCCAGGGCATCTCGTTTCAGGAGCCAGTCACCCCGTCCGCTCCGGGGCAGGTCTGCCCTGGTTGGGTTTGCAGGCATGTGAGTCTCGGGCCTGAGTGTCAGATAGAACCAGACGGCCTTCAAGAGGCTGTGTGTGCCTTAGAGAGGAGGGGGGCAAGGAGGGACGGGGAAGGGAGAGAGAGGAGAAAGCGAGTGGGGGAACCTGGAGCCCTACGTCCTTTGTGGGTCTGTTCTCCGCCAGCCTGGCCCATCAGAGGTCAGAGTGTCCGCCGGACGTTCCAGCCAGCCCCTTGT